CCTCGCAATCCGGAGTCCTTCCGAGGGTTCTCGGTGTGTTGACTACCGGAATCAGTTAAAACTTTGGCGAACCTTTAGGACGAATGTGCGCGGCGCTATGGAGAGGGATACATTTTGAAAAGGAACCGCCCTCAATCCGTGAACCTCCAATTTTTGAAGACGGGTGTGCCCTGCGCTGAGGCGAGCGCCACATGTTGGTAAGGACCCGTCTTCCATCCGTGAAACTTTTGCCTGTAAAAAAAACGAGTGTGCGCGGCGCTATGGCGAGAGCCACGTTTTGAAACCCACGCGCCTTCCATCTGTGAAAACTGTTGCCAATTTCTAAGGTTCTGGGTCATAAGTGGTGAGGAAGTCTCAGGCGAAACGCCCTGCCCGCCCTTGCGACCAGCCTCGGGGTGCGATAGGGCGGAGGAACAGGAGCAGGAGTAGGAGAAGAAGGCAGTAGGCAGAAGTGAGGTCGCAGAGGGGGGGATGAAGTTTGGAGGAGGCAGAAGGGAGGGAGAGTGGGAGGGAGGGAGGGAGGGAGGGAGGGAGGGAGGGAGGGAGGGAGGGAGGGAGGGAGGAGGAGGAGGAGGAGGAGGAGGAGGAGGAGGAGGAGGAGGAGGAGGATGACGAGGAAAAGGGCGCCGTAGGAAACGAAAGGTGAGGACAGGAAAGAGGATATCGAGGAAGGGCAGGAGGAGGGAAGAGGATGATGATGATGTTGATGATGATGCTGCTGCTGATGATGATGAGGATGATGGTAATGATGATGATGACTATTATGACGATGATGATGATGACATTGATGATGATGGTTTTAGTGGTGGTAGTGGTGGTGGTGCTGGTAGTGGTGGTGATGATGGTGCTAATGCTGATGTTGATGATGGTGATGATGATGATGCTGATGATGATGATGATGAGGGTGGTGGCGGTGATGATGATGATAGTGGTAGTGGTTGTGGTGATGCTGATGCTGATGATGCTGCTGCTGATGCTGATTCGTGTGATGCTGATGATGATGCTGTTGATGCTGATGCTGATGATTATGATGACAATCTTGTGATTCTGATCGCGATGCTGATGGTGATGATGGTGGCGATGATGATGATGATGATTATGATGATGATGACGATGATGATGATGATGCTGATGATGATGACGATGATGATGATGATGGTGGTGTGGATGATGATGATGATGATGATGATGATGATGTCGATGATGATGCTGATGATGCTGACGCTGATTGTGATGCAGATGATGGTGATGATGATGATGGTGACGATGATGGTGGTGATGATGATGGTGTTGCTGATATTGATGCTGATGCTGATGATGGTGGTGCTGATGCTGATGCTGCTGATGATGCTGCTAATGATGACAACGATGATGACAATGATGATGCTGTTGATGATGGTGATGCTGATTATGATTTTGACGATGATGGTGATGATGATGACGATGCTGGTGATGATGATGCTGATGCTGATGATACTGATGATGATGCTGATGATGTTAATGACGATGCCGATGCGTATGATGATGCCGATGCTGATGACGATGACGATGATGATGATGATGATGATGATGATGATGATGATGATGATGATGATGATGATGATGATGCTGATGATGATACTGATGATGAGGCTGATGATGATACTGCTGCTGATGATGCTGCTGATGATGAGGAGGAGGAGGATGAGGAGGAGGAGGAGGAGGAGAACGAGGAGGAGGAGGAGGAAGAGGAGGAGGACAGGACAGGACAACACATCCGCACATGGGGGTCAACGTCAACACACCTAGACTGGTTCCTTGCGCGCGTCTGGCAAAGTCCCCTGCGATTTGGTTGTGCAAAGGCCCTGATTTCTCACTAGGGCGGGCACAGGGCATACCCCGAAGCTTCAAGGAGTGAGCTAAGAGAGGCTCGCTACCTCGTGAGTACAAGTCCCTGCGGGTCAGTGCGGGGGGAGCAGCTGCTGGCCCTTCCGCGTGCCCTCGGAATGGGGGCGGGCTGGGCGAGCAGGGCTCCCAAGCTAGGGGGGAAGAGACGACGACACGACCACTCAAAAGGAGAATGGGGAGGAGAATCAGGATGCCCATGCTTTCCAAACTTCTGTTGGGGGACCTAATTATCCTATTGGTTTTATGCTGTCCTATTCTCTCCTCTCTCTCGGCTCACTTCTCTTCCAGATCGAACTGGACGATAGCTATCCCATGCATTGTCGTAACTGTACCCTGCTACCCTGCTGTAGTATCCCACTGTTCCCCCTCGAAGTGCAGGTAGGGAAGAGCGTACTGGAAGTCACGGTATGTTGGAGGTGGGGCCCACGTGGATGCGCTCTGGTGGCCTTCGTGGTTCTCACTTTTTTTTCCATTGCCCCCTCCATGCAGTAGTGTACCTGTCGGCACTCCAAAAATTCACTTCCCAAGACGTTGTCTGCGCGAGCTCTCTCTCAAGGGTCCTCACGCCGAGATGGCCCCGCTAGTGATGGTCCCACTGAGTCTGCCCGTCCTG